CAGGCTTTGAGCTGATCCCCCCTGGGCAGGAGAGGTAATGAATGCGGCAGCAAGCAGTGGAGCAGGCAATAGCCATGTGGATCACTTGGTGCAGGACACCCTTGATTCCTCTTCCCCAGCAAACACTGATTTGGAAGGTGACTTTGGATAGGGACAGGCACAGGGGTATTCACGGACATACACAGTGTGTGCATCACCTATACAGGTACAGGGGCGTGCACAGAGGCACGCAGAGTGTGCACCACCTGTGCACGGGCACAGCGTGTGCACAGACACACACACGGAGTGTGTGCATCAGGTCGATACAACCCAGCTTTGACCTAAGCTGTTCTTGTCACTGTTATATCAAACCTCAGTCCAGATGGAAGGAGTGGTTACAACTTGAGCCAAATCTGCATGTGGAGAAACTGATGTCCACCAAGAGAATTGCCAAGCCCAGCAGATGCCCAAGCCTGGGCGTATGGGAAGACAGTGACATCTGTGGACCAGGCGTTTGGGGAGAAGTTTGCAGGGAGAGGTGGTGACTGTGGGGGATCCAGCCATGCAATCTAGTAAAGCGGTGCTCGCAGACAGCACCAGACCCAAAGCCAGGACCCCAGGTAAATTTTACTTTCATATAAAGTTTCTTGGATCCTGTTGACCTGTCAGAGTCAGCGTATACTGGGTCAGCAATTTGGGTTTTGTGGTTGCAGTAGTTATGATGTGGTCCTAAGCACTCCAAATCTGGATTTATCCAGTTGGATGACAGTGGCCTGATCAGACTTGTAGTTCTTTCACACAAGGCCCAGTGAAATACTTTTCTCAGCTCCGATCTCAGGATAGTCTTGCATTTGAGCAGTGTTTTGGAAGGAGCCTTCTGTCATCTCAGGAGCAGGTATTGGAGTTTATTTGCTTTTTGCAGGCCACAATGGCAGGTGATTACATTATCAGGCATGTAAATAGCTGGATTTGTGATACCAGAGAGGATGCTTGGTCTTGGCAAATGCAAAGGAGATGGACCTCAAAGACATTTGGATGTGGTCCTAGGAAATACAGGGAAAGAAGGTGGTCCCAGAGGACTGACGGAAGATCTCACCTTCACCAGGCAGTAAAAGAGCAGATGAAGTTGCATAAAACAAACGTAGTATGATCCACAGGGGAAACAACAATACTCATTTTCGATAGGCAGCAGTGGGCTCTGTGTGGGCTAATGTCACTCAGGAATAATCTGTCTCAAACAGAATACAGTAGACCTGAAAAAAATACCAAACTCGCAGAAGGGCAGCAAGGATGACCAGAGGTCCAGACTGGCTGCTGCATGAAGAATAGCTACATAGACTGGGACTCTTCAGCCTGGAAGGAACAACTGAGGTGCATATGACTGAGGTATACACAGCTGTGAGGGAGAAGGAGAACAAGACCAGGGGCATCACATGAAATTAGCAGGAGGTAAAATCAATAAGAGGGAGATGCTTGCTCCCTCACCCTGGCATTAAGCTGCTTCCACACATTGCTGCGGCTGTTCAGTGTCAAGAGGGGTTAAGAAACCCCACAGGACAAATCTGTGGAAGGAAAATCTCTTGAGGTTTCCTCAGGACAAAAATACTACCTTTGGTTCAAGAAGTCTCTGAGCTACAAAAGAATATTCACTGTGTGTATGGTCCAGTCTCACACCCTTTGCTGTGCCCTGGCTGGTGCACAAATGTGGGAGGCAGGATGCTAGGCTGGGAGGACCCAAGGTGGCATTCTCCTGCTCCCATCTCTTTCTCTGAAAGGAGGAGGACTTTCAGGTCCCACAGCTTCAGGAAACCTGAATTCAAGTTCCAGCATATGAATTGCATGTTATTTTACCATCTGGTCACTGTGAGCCCTACCTCTCGGGGTGTTGATCTGATAGAGCAGAGCCCGGACCATCTTGAGAAGGGTGTCCAGAACAGACAGGTCTCTGTGTCGGACCTGGAACTGTGTCTGGTTTCAGACTCCCAAATACAGGAAAGACACTTACACACTCTAGTGAGTCCAGTGAAGGCCACCAAGATGGTTAAGGGAGCTCAGGAACATGATATAGGAGGAGAGGATGAGAGAAACTGGGTTTAAGTCTTCAGGGGAGGGGTAAATGGAGACCTCCTTGTTTTCTTCAACTACCTCATGGGAGGGTGTGACCAGACAGAGCCAGACACTTCCCAGAGATGCAGAGTGATAGACTGAGAGGCAACAAATGCAAGTGGCAAGGAGGAAAGTTCTGAGTACATGTTAGGAAAAGAAATTGCCCTGTGAGGGGGATCAAACAGCACAACAGTGTCCCAGAGAGGTGAGCGATCTCCATCCTGGGAGACAGTCATCTGTGGATGGGACAAGGTGCCGAGCAACTGATCGACCTCCTGCTCGGAGCGGGAGGCTGGACCAGAGACCTCCAGAGGTCCCTTCCCAGCCTCCTCATACCATGGTGCTGTGCCTTACCCCAGTAACAGAGGGAAACCTGGATGGTGAGCACATGTTTAGCTCGACTGTGATGAGACAAAGCCTGCTGTGGTGTTTGATCCTCCACCCCAGGCACATGGTGGATGTATTTTTTTCCACCCTTTCAGGCTGTGAATGGTCCTTCTGCCCGTTGCCCTGCTGAGACAGAGCTTCCTTTTACAGCATCTGCGCTACCGTCTTCTTGTTCACAGAGTGACAGTGCCCTCTGCTCCCGTCTCCATTTGGAAACGCACTCTCTCACCATTTAGTTTTTGAAGCCTAAGCCAGTCAGCCACAAGGCTTCAATCCTTGTTAGCAAAGCTTTCCTCCGCTGCCTGAAAATCCAGCACTGACAGCGAGAGTTGCAGATGTTTTCTTACTCCTCTCACACAATATATCCGTCCCTTTCCCACCCTGCATGCGTACCCATAGGATCCGCCCTTTCTAAAATCACAGGCTTCTTCCTGCTCTCCAGCATGATGTCAGCAGGCTCTCTCCCCTGGTTCTTCACCAAATATTCATGCAGACTGTGCCAGGGCAGGGCTCTTACAGAGGACAAGTACGATGGACTTTTTGTCTAGGTATTTGATGGAGGATGCTCTCTCTGAAGTCCAGAGAAGCAGCCTGTGGGGAACGCAGCAACCACCGGCTGTTTGAAGAGATGCTGCATCAACCAGAAGTGTCATCTTTAGCTCTGGGAAAGTGCTGGGGTTAATTTAATGATAATTTTTATTAGCTACCCGCGCTGCATTTATAATAACTCTGCATCACAGGCATGACATGGAGCTACTGGCACATACTCAGCCAGAACCTTCATTTGCAATCCATTAATATGTCTTTTTTAAACCTGCAAGGGTGTATTTCCAAATGCTTGGCTGGACCCTCTAGAAATTGAGAAAAAGGAGGGTCTGTGTGATCTGGGGAGATGAGCACAAAGAAAAGTCCTATGAGTCTATGCTAAGCATCACCTTCCCTGTATCCAGGAAAGGAAAGGACCAGTCCCTGTAGGAGCAGGGATTGCTCTGGATCGTATTGGATGGACAGGGCGTAGCATGTTTTTCTACTTTTGCAGGAGCGCAGCGTGACTGTCCCATCCTGCACAGAGGAAAGGACGCAGAGGGAGAAAATCCTTCCTCCATACACCAACTGTGTTGGGTTTGGCTTTTTCCTACCATCTTCTTCCCCACCCCTTGTAAGAGAAAAGCAGCAGGTAGAGGTGCATCCCTCAGCCTTGCTTAGTTCCTCCAACCCTATGGCATGGCTCAGCTTTGCCCTGGCTTCCCTAGGGAACCCTGTGGAGGTGATCCATGACCGCTCTCAGCCACAACTGCTTCTCTCCACCATCCTGGAGACCTGCCTGCGCCCTTCCACACTGCCACTGAAGGCACCTGGGAGAGACATCCCTGATGGCCTTGCTTTTCCTTGGTCAGCCCCCTTCATAGCCACTGCTGCAGCCCTGGGGGACAGAAATATCAACAAGGGAGCAAGAGTCCCTCTCACAGCTTCGTCTCCAGATAGTCCGTGGTCGCCCTTGTGCTGAAATCCTGGTCCCTGTCACTCCTGGCACCATGGGGACCTGCTGCCCAGGACCATTGGCCTGGGGAGAAGCCAGCCTGGTGGGAATTTGTTGGTCCCGGGGCGGGGAACCCATCAGTGAGGCCCCTCCAGTCCTGAGCCCAGACCTGCTTCGTCCCCTTGGCTTTGCGTCACACTCGCTGCCTGGGCACTTCAGAGTTTTTCAGGAATGACAACAAATGACTCTCTGGTCACCCTCCATCCTCTCCATTGGCCACTTCCAGCTCCTTTCCACGTGGTCCTCCCGTCTCTTGAAAGGTGAAGAGTTTTGGTTTAATGAGCCTGACGTTACTTGCCCTGACTTTGCCAATGAAGGTCCTGGCGCTCACTGTCATGTCGTTTCCCCTGTGGGAGTGGGCCGTCCCCAGCCATCCCAGTTCTGCCCCATCCCGGATGGGCTTGTGCAACCTCCGGGTGGGCTGGCCCAGCGCCACTTCCCCCGGGGCCCTCGTGATGCCTGGCCCAGCCGGCGGGGATTTCTTGGAGGAAGTGGCCCCGTGGGGTTTCTGCCCACCCGGCGGAGCAAGGGGCAGCGGAGCTGTGGCTCCACCATGAGCCTTGGGGCCTGCGGCCCCTGGCAGAGAGGTGAGGGCAGCCGCGGCGTGTGAGGACGGTGGGCAGGGCGGCCGTGGAGAGGGGGTGAGAATGGCTGTGGGGTTGAGGAGAGCAAGGGTGGTCGTGGGGACGGGGGCGAGGACACCCGTGGGGAGGACAGGACACCCGTGGGGCTGGGGGAGAGGACACCGCTGGGGATGTGGGTGAAGACGGCTGCAGGGATGGGGGCGAGGTCGCCTGTGGGGAAGCGGCGAGGACACCCGTGGGCAGGGGAGGTAGGGGTAGCCTTGTACCCGAGTGAGGGGCGCCTCCTGCAGCGTCCCCGTCGGAGCGGGCCGGGCGGCGCCGAGGGGCAGCCCCGACGGCGTTCGGTGCCGCCCCGCGCGGTTTGGCTGCGGCGGCGGGGCGGGCCCGGCG